CTCATCTGTACCACCGGATTCCACTTCCGGCAGCCGAAGCGAACGGACGTGTGTATCATGAGCTCCGTAGGAGCGGTGACAGCGGCCGCGTCTGGCCGTGGTACTTCTGCTAATTCTGCCACTGGAAACCCTGACGAGTACAAAATTATTTTGCCTCCCCTGCCGAATGGATACATCGCCATGAACTGTGTGATTCTGCACTGTGACGTAAAGGGCCGGCCATACCGGATTCAAGACTTCCGCGACGAACTGCTGCGGCTGCAAGTGCTGAAAGATCTGGTGTCGGCGGGACCGCACCAGATGAACCATGTCTGGATGCTACGGCTGGCTTCGCTTGCAGCAAAGCAGAGGTTAGTGGACGCTAAAGAACTAACCGTAAAAGGGGGGCGGTGCCTCGTAATGGACCCTGCCGACGTGGAAGTCAGGCTCAAGCTGCACTGGGTGCCCTATGACGTGCCGAGCTGTCACGTAAAAAAGGAGATGGAACGGTACGGCAAAGTGACTGACGTAACGCGAGACCTCTTCAGGGAAAAGGGTTTCGAGGCGGTCGAGTCAAACACCCGAACGGTACGCCTGACTCTCAAGGACGGTTGTACCGTCGACAGCCTCCCCCACGAAATTCGCCTAGAAGGCTGCAAGGTCCTCGTCGTTGTGCCAGGACGGGCCCCACTGTGCCTTAGGTGCAGGCGTACGGGCCACATCCGGCGAGATTGCCGCGTCCCTCGCTGTACGGACTGCCACCGGTACGGCCACGCAGCAGAAGACTGCGTCAAAACCTACGCGTCTATCGCCCGTGACCGCAAGTCGGAGGACAACACCGACTACGTCATGGACGACGCGGAGGCAGAGGAAGCCGTCGGAGGGTCATCGCCCGTCACCCTGCCATCGACGGAGCCTAGTGGTACGCCCCCGCCCAACGACGACGGCAACCCTGACGCAGCGTCCTTCGTGCGCAACCCCGAGGAGAAATCCGAAGCGCAAGTCACGCCCAGCGACGACACTAAGGAGCGCCTGCCCCGTGAGCCAACAATTTCCGGATGCGGTCCATCGGCAACGAAGCCCGGCCATCCCGGTGGTCAAAAGAGCGATGCCGGAGTGGAAGAGTGCCAGGACACAGACATGGACTCCACTCTCAAGCGACCGAGGGACCCTGCGCCAGCACCAGCTGCACTCGCCGGAATGGCCGCCAGCGGGTTGCCTGTGCCAGGAATCAAGAAGTGTCGTGTCGTGTCGAAGCCGCGTGTCCCGCCGGACGATCGTCGCAGGAAGGACTCCCTGTGAGTCTTTTCGGGCCTAAACGTCAGTGCAAGTGTCAACCGTATTTTTGTTTCCATTGGCTTTTTCTTGCGCGAGCGCCTTTTTTTTTTTTGCGAGCCTACCTTGTTCTCCGTCTAGCCTCCCTTTCAACCGTTCATGAACCTTGAGCGATCTTTACGGGTAGGCACGTTAAACGTGCGCGGCTTTTGTGCCAGGCGTCGCCAATACCAGGTAAACCGCTTGTTTATCGAGAATGACCTGGATATAGTCGCGGTTCAAGAGACAAAAATGGAAGGCGAGGCCCAGACGGAGAACATGGTACGGCTTTTTGAAGCGAGGTATGACGTGTGCGTCAGCCACGCTAGGGGGACGTCGGGGGGTTGTCTTTTATTTCTAAAGAAATCTATCGGGACCGTCGAACAAGTCGTTAGTTGTGATTCGGGGCGCTTTGTCTTGTGCGATTTTATTATTTCCAACTACAAATTTCGTGTGGTGTGCATCTATGCCCCTATTAAGACGGAGGAACGTTTATTTTTTTTCGAGTTTATTGAAAAGTACGTTCAAACTGATCGATTAATTATATTATTGGGCGATTTTAATTGTGTGTGCGCGCCGCAGGATAGGTCAAATAGCGTGAGGTATCGGGACGCGAGCACCGTGTTTTTCTGCGACATGCTTCAGCGGTGCGATTTAGAAGACATTGCCCACTGCGCGTCCCGCGGTAGAGGTTTAAAGTACACGCATTTCCAAGGTGCAAGTCATGCACGCTTGGATAGAGCGTATGTCTCACTCGACCTTGTAAGAGCGTGCAAGCAATACGCCGTTGATCACGTGTCGTTCAGTGATCATTGCCTTGTTTCTTTTTTAACTTGTTCCTCCAAAGACACGCCTAAAAAGTTCACGTGGGACTTGTGGAAATTTAATTCCAAACTCCTTGAAGACGAGCTTTTTGTACAAGCAGTCCGGAAAATTCTTAAAGATACAGCGAGCGCAAAAGGGCAACGATTTGGAGTAAAATGGGAATTGTTTAAACAGGAAATAAAATTGACTTCCATCGAGCGCTCCAGCTTATTGAAGCATAACGAAAAGAAAGAAACGCGCGAGTTAAACAGCCTGCTTCAAAGGTTGATGCTGGAGGAATGCCTATCGCCAGGTTCTTTTTCCGATGAAATTATCAGTATCAAAAAGCGCCTCGAAATTCTCGATACTGAAGAATACAAGGGGGCTATGCTGCGAGCGCGATGGAACCGGTTATCGCTTGGGGAGCTACCCACGAAAAGGGCGATAGGCGCGGAAAGAAAGTATGCGAGTCAAAATGAAATCACGGAAATTTCTTATCAGGGGGTTCTGACGAGCGATAACGTGAACATACAACGCGCGTTTGTTGAGTACTATAAAGAATTGTTCAGCTATCGTGAGCCTAAAAAGAGCGGGTTTCGGAGTTCTTATTTGCCGTTAATGCCGAAGCTGGCAGACGAACTAAAAGAAAAGTTAGAACAACCTATAATGTTGTGGGAAGTAGAAAAAGCCATCGACAACTTAAAACCGGGAAAGTCACCCGGCCCCGATGGTTTAGGAGCAGAATTTTACAAAGCTTTCAAAGATCAGCTTGCCCCGTTTATGCACTGTGTGTTTACCGAAGCGTATACTCTTAATGTTTTGCCCCCGTCGTTTTTGTGCACACACACAATTTTTATTCCCAAAACTGAAGACCGCTTGAAACTCCGTTCCGTTGGTTCTTACCGCCCTATCACACTGACCAATGTAGACTACAAGATTTTCATGAAAGTGTTAGCGGAACGATTACAAAGTGTCATTAGCATTATCGTCGGCCCGCACCAGACGTGTGGTATAAAGGGAAGGAGTATTGTAACGAACGTGCACGTTGCACGAAGTATTTTGGAATGTTGCGACACTATGGAAAAAAGAGTGGCAATGTTACAAGTCGACCTGGAAAAGGCCTTTGACCGGGTGTCCCATCAAGTCCTTTTTGCTATTTTAGATCATGTAAATGTAGGGGCAGTTTTGTGTGATGGTATACGTATGGCTTACAAAAATTGCGCCACTCGACTTGTGGTGAACAAATGTGTGACTGAACGCGTTCCTCTCCTTTCTTCCGTGAGACAAGGCTGTCCGATTTCGCCCTTGCTTTTTTGTATTTTTCTCGAACCGTTTTGTTTAAGCGTTATTCATAGTAGTTGTATTCGAGGTTTTAAGTTACAAACTGTTGAAGTCCGCATCTTGTCATATGCGGATGACGTGGCAATTTTTTGTAGCGACAAAAACAGTGTAAAGAAAGCCGTAGAGTTGACAGAAACGTTTTGCGACCATACGTGCAGTTCTGTTAACTTTGAAAAGTGTGTGGGTCTTTGGCACGGCGATTGGCCTTCCACGCCGACTGTTTATGAACGCATTACGTGGGCGGATTCGCCGTCCCGGTACCTTGGGGTACCATTGAATCACTATCGCAACACTGACGAATACTGGCGCGATGAGACTGAGGCTTTGCGCGCGAAAGCGAACAAGTGGGGAGGCCAGGGTTTATCAATTTTCGCGCGTGCATCTGTGTGTAACACATTTCTTGCTGCGAAGATTTGGTACGTATTGCAGGTGTTGCATTGTTCACGTATTAACGTTCACCACATTCATCGTGTGTTTGCCGTCTTCATTTGGAGCTCGGTATGGGAGAGGACGAGCCGAACGAATCTTTTCCGAAGGGTCAGTGTTGGCGGTCTGGGGCTTTCCAATTTGTTTGTAAGGCAATTGGTTAATAGATTTTTATTTCTTCGAGACCAGAAAGATCCTTTTTTATGCACGGTAATTCAAGCGAGGCTGCGCAGCGCTCTTCCTGAGTTCATTGTGTCGTCCGGCATAGACGTCAGTGGTTCTGTACGCGGTTATCTAAAAGAAGTCGTTGGTGCTTATCAGTTTTTAACAACGCGCTTTTCTTTGGAATACTTGTGCGGTGTCTCGCGGAAACGGTTGACAAAAGACATTATTGATTTAATTTTTCCCACTCCTTTGTATCGTATGTTTTTCAGTGAAGGCCCAGGGCAGGACGTGTTAAAACGTGTCAAAAGAATGGTCATTCCCGCCTCAACCAAAACGTTTTTTTTCAAGTTGCATAGCCAAACCTTACCTGTCAAAGCATGGCTAGTGGAGAAGGGAGTGCCTATTGCATGGACCGATAACTGCATATTATGCAAAAAGCAGGAAACAATCGAACATGTTTTTATAGACTGCTGGGATGCAGTGTTTTTCTGGGACGTACTGCAAAGAACGCTCAAAAAGGACCTGCCTCTTACGCCGCATGGAATTCGTTTTTTACCCGTTAAAGGGGAAGAGGGCGTACCTCTAGACATGGTCATGCTACTGGGCCTTCACAGTTTGTGGCGGTGTCGCATGGCCGTGCGCCATGCAGACGTCGATCTGCGACCTGTGCACAAGTATTTTGCAGAGCAAATGTGCTTTATGAAAGAAGTGTATAAGGCCCAACAACCTTGGCCTGAATGGTTGCCACTTCTTGAGGGGCTTGCTAACCTCAAAGAATTTTAACATTTTTGCGTCGGCCAGGTGAGCTGATGTTTTTTTAACCTCTTATTTTGAGTGTATGTTATTGCATTGTCCCTGTCAAAATCAAGCAATAAAGAAAAAAAAAAAAAAAAAAAAAAAAAAAAGGCGCCGTGGCTTAGTTGGTTAAAGCGCCTGTCTAGTAAACAGGAGATCGTGAGTTCGAATCTCACCGGTGCCTTTTTGCAGACCGCAACTTTCAGCCTTTTCTTCAAAAACCGGTTCTTCGCACCAGTTTTTGATTGTGAGCTTCATTTCAACCTGCCGTTCCGGCGCCGTGGCTTAGTTGGTTAAAGCGCCTGTCTAGTAAACAGGAGATCGTGAGTTCGAATCTCACCGGTACCTTTTTGCAGACCGCAACTTTCAGCCTTTTGTTCAAAAACCGGTTCTTAGCTGCAGTTTTAGAGCGCAGCTCTTAGGGGCCCGTTTCCGGCTTGAGCGGCGTCGGCGTCGCCGTCGCCGTCGGCGTAACCGCGCGGTGCATCATGGGAAATGTCCCATAATGCACCGCGCGAGCCCCCCACCGGGGTCACGTGACCCCCCGAAGTCACGTGACTTCCCTGAGGTCACGTGACCCCCTCCTCGAGGTCACGTGACCCCCGCCGATGTCGCGTGACCCCCGATGACGTCATCGTCACTGATGACGTCACCGGCATCCACATCGTCATCATCACTGATGACGTCACCGGCATCCGCATCGTCATCGTCATCATCACTGATGACGTCATCAGTGACGTCACTGATGTCGTCAACGGCATCCGCATCGTCATCATCACTGCTGACGTCATCAGCGACGTCACTGATGACGTCACCGACATTCGCATCGTGATCGTCATCATCACTGGTGAAGTCATCAGTGACGTCACTAATGACGTCATCGGTACCCGCATCGTCATCGTCACTGATGACGTCATCAGTGACGTCAGTGATGACATCATCGGCAGTGGGGGTCACGTGACCCCCCCTGGTTAACTTAAACCCCCCCCCCCCCCCAGTGCCCTTCCCTCCTCCTCCTCAAGAGCTGTGCTCTAATTCGGCGTTACAGGGAATTGTAAGCGGCTTCCACTTTTTTTGATGGTGTGCTTCATATCACCTGGCCGTTCCGGCGCCGTGGCTTAGTTGGTGCAAGCGCCTGTCTAATAAACAGGAGATCGTGAGTTTGTATCTCACTGGTGCCTTTTTGCAAACCGCAACTTTCAGCCTTTTGTTCAAAAACCGGTTCTTAGCTGCAGTTTTTGATGGTGTGATTCATAGTTCTGAACGCTCCGGCGCCGTGGCTTAGTTGGTTAAAGCGCCTGTCTAGTAAACAGGAGATCGTGAGTTCGAATCTCACCGGTGCCTTTTTGCAGACCGCAACTTTCAGCCTTTTGTTAAAAAAGTGGTCCTTGGCTGCAGTTTTTGATTGTGTGCTTCATATCACCTGACCGTTCCGGCGCCGTGGCTTAGTTGGTTAAATCGCCTGTCTAATAAACAGGAGATCGTGAGTTCGGATATCACCGGTGCCTTTTGTAGACCGGAAGGATGTCGTCTGTGTAAATGCAGGCTTGTTTTAAAGTGGGGTTAGACTTGCATTTATGTTTTTTTCCTGTTGGTTTGTCCCACAGAAGCGGTATATCTGTTTCATTCATCGAGTACCAATAGCGTTTGCCGGAGTAAAGTAATTATTCAGCAACGAATGGTACAGTGGTATTTAATTTCGCGTACCACAAAACGGCACGTATTCGTTACGAGAGACGCGCGTAGAAGCATTGTAGACACATTGAAAGTGTAAAACTCTTTTTAAATAAAAAAAAAAAAAAATTAGCTGTCGCCATTTCTTGTGCACGAAGCGTATGATTGGATTTGAGCCTTTAACGTTGACTGAGCACTCGTTTCTGCAACGAGCTGAGCAGAGTTCACGCGGAACGCTGACATCGCTCTCGCGTCCAATATGGTATGCCCAAAGTACCTGCCCGAAAAATGGCGGGCTTATCTGACAGGTGTTGCAGCTACTAAATCGCACCTTTTTGAATAAGAATTCAGTCGAGCTGTCATCACCCTACCAATGACGTTTGTGCATAAAGGTAGATTATTCTACTGTCCTTATGAGGTAACAGTCCCGTGCAAGAAAGGACACCCAAGCTGCCCCAGTGTGTACCATCTCGGCGTCCAGGGAGGAGAAGGACGGAAACACTAACTGAGACACCGTTTAGGAAATTGGTGTAAACACGCTGGGCTTGCCTGGTGTCTGACAAGGGACATCGTCAAGGACAGAATCTTTCTTCAAACCTTGTCCTTGTGCGTTCAATGTTTACCGTCATATCTCCTCCGCAGCCTACGGTCTCCTAGACCAGGTTGTTTTTACCATCCATTGAGAAGGACTACGACGTGCCTTGATATCTTTGCCGGTGTCTTTATACATAAGTGGATTCCGCAATCGTTTATTTCCCGCCATAACTCAATCTATGGGCGCTCAGCATCCTAAAAACAACCAAAATTACATTTAAGGGCGGCCGATTTTCCTAAAAATCCAATCAAAGATCGTGCCACGCTCCCCTTTCTGCGCTGTGGCGCAGAACACCAGTGGATGTCACCAGGCGGGAAGCCAGAGGGCACGTGACAGTCAATCACTGAATCTTCGAATATGCGCGTCTTCAAAAAATCAGTCCGCCGAGAAGCCGCCACACGTGATTGGCTGTCGCATGCCCTCCCCTGCTGCCCTCCCGACCGGTGGTGCCCCCTGGTGTTCTGCGCCACTGCGCAGAAAGAGGGGCGCTTCGGGATCTTTGATTGGACTTTTAATAAGAAAATCGGCTGCTCTTAAAGGATGGGTGTTACGATTTCCGGACTGCTGTCAAAAATTTGTGGAAGTTCCCTCCGACACTGAGGTAAAGAACTGAAAACCGATTTCGCCTGTGTGTCCTAGCTGTCGTGTAAAAGAAAATGATAAATATTGGCATTTCTGGCACCCCTCAACTCACTCCCAGTCTTCGGGGTCGCACCTGGTCCCACTCCTAGTGACGTAATTTGGGGTGCCGTGTAGCCTCCCGTGTGCTGTCTCGGAGGACGCTTCTTCTTCCCCTCTCTGCGTATATTAGCGGGCGTTATGCTGTAGCTCAGTGGTTTTCAACCGTTGATGTTTCGCGGACCCCTTGTGGATCGGCGGATATCATGGAAGACCCCGATTCCAGTGAGGGGAAGGAAATGTTTATGCTAATTATCATAATTAGTTAATGAACGAATAAAACTAAGGGCTAGTGTGAAGTAGACCTCTTTGTCACGAGAAAACTCACCCGAAAATTGGAACGTTTTATGTCACTATGAAAAAAATAAAACTTTAATTGCCGGCCTTGACTGACGAGGCAGAGCTTCGTGGACCCCAAAGGGTCCGCGGGCCCTTATTTGAGAACCACTGCTGTAGCTTAAAGCCGAGCGAGGTCACGTAAGCTTCTGCCATAGTTCCTTCGGCTGCCACTCGCGGCTGCAGGTGGGGGACAAAGCTCGACTTTTGGTTTGCGATTATACAGCGGAATCGCGACATTTTTTAACCAATGAGATGTTTTCTCTATCCTCCATGACACGATAAAAAACGTAAGAATGGCGAGATACGAATTATTTCAATCTTAAGATCGTCGCACCCCCCCCCCCCCCCTCCCCCTTTAAGTATGATTTCGGGTTTTTTAGGATGCTTAGAATCAGTAGATTGAGTTATGACAATAAATAGACGATCCCCGAATCCAGAGCTCCCGGCGAAATGTTGAGTCACTGATTTTGCTCTAAATGAGTTAATCACATTAATAGACACACCTGAACTAGTAGCCTAAATTACAAGTCACAATATATATATATATATTTTTTCCGAAGTTATGTAATTTTATGGTTTGGTCTGAGAAGCTGAGAGGCTCTAATGGCAACACTGAAAACATGGATTTTCGTTTTTAGGCTTGGGGGCGCAAGCTACCGCCCGCTATAAAGGGTACAGTTGTTAGCATCCACCCATGTCGTAAATAGGGGGGGCATAACAACGTGGTTATCCCTGACTAGTTACAAGAAGTTTGGCGGTGTGAAATGAATGCTGAGGAAGCTCACACCAGCAAAGCGAACAATGAGAAACCTCTCGGAATATTTTTTTTTTTTAACTTTTATTTTAGGCTGTCTGCTCGACTTGCAAGTTCTATAACGTATGCGATGTCACCCCACTGGATATTGCGAGAAAAAAATGAATGCCGGTTTCGGTATAGCCTTCATTGCTGTTTGCTTAGCTAATCTGAATTAAGGGGTAGTAAATAGCGTGAATAGTAAAGCGTGGGTATTCCAAAAACGCGTTTAATTTATGCAGCAAAAAAAAAAAAGAAAAAGAAACTCCGAATCGTTTTTTAACCTGACTGAAACCTAAGACTGTGGTTTGACAAACGGAAACTCGTGAAATTGGAAGAAAAAGGAACAGACAACGCCTCATTTAAAAGCGGAAACTCGCCTGCACTTTAACCGTTTCGTCATTGCCCTTTAACAGTTGCCTCCAGTTTTCTTGGGATGCCCATTGTATGCTAGTGGAATCTCACTCCTTCCCTTAGAGCGGGCGAATCAAGACTCTGAACGGCTGCGTGTCCCTAATCCTATGTCCCACCGGTGCCCCAGTAAGGTGCACTGCGCTGCACTCTTAGCGCGAACAAATCGTAGCCGCTTTCTTTTCGGTTTTCCTCTCAGTAATAAGGGCTGTTCACATATTTGCGTTGATTGCGTTCACGGCGACCAAAAAGACAGCAAGGACCGGAACAGCGGAACAGTGGTAACTCACCACTGCTTCAGGAAGCTACCTCTTGTGTTAAAGAGATTTAGTACATCGCTGCGATACCTCCGTTAACGTTATGATCGATGCAGACGCAAAGTCGGCGGTTGAGTATCGGCTATAGTTATCGGAATGATCGGAACGATCCATGGTAAAACTCTGTAGCGCTTGCCACGTTCCACACGGGGAACAAGTTGTCCCGGCAACCTTGTGATTGTAGTCGTTTCAATAGCCGTAAACGCAACCAATGCCCATGTCTGCGCGAGGTCACAAGGATCGCCATTAACACAATGATTGTGGTGGAACGCGTACCGTCGCCGAACTAAGCTAACTGATATATTCGAATGCCCTCCAGTATATACCTTTCTGAAGCAAAATACAAAAACAAAAATGAAGTTTGCGCGAAAAAAAAGCAGAAAAAAAAAAAGATTTCGCACAGTGCATCGCGTCAAACATGAACGCGGGGTCGTTTTGTGGTGAGCCGGACACCGTCTTGGAACGACGCCACTTAATTGCAATTACATTTCTCGTTTCCTTTTTTTTTTTAATTTACCGTGTTGTGTACGTTAAAGCCGCCATCACACTTCTAATAAATCATAGAGAAAGACCGTCTAGAGACACTGTCTTAGGCTGATCACCGTGACTTCAGCTTAATGAGGGCAATGATGGCGCACCAACCTTCCTGCCGATAGGTGTCGCTGGAATCCATCTGGACCACCGCCGTGTCCTCCAGCCGGACATACCGACCACAGGGCGCGCCGCAGTCCAGGTTGGGCACGACGTCGCAATAAGCGACTTTAAAACGGAACAGTTCTGCGAGAGCTATCCAGCGAACAAGCCCGCATCGGACCGGGAAAAAAATTGTACGCTCGTCCGTTGTCGACTTCAGGGGAAGCCAGAGAACGGACTAGAGAGAGAGAGGGGGAGGAGAGAGAAAGAGAGACTTCCAGTGACCTGCGAAGCTCCGGAAGTAAACAATCAACAACATCACTTCCGGAAGGGGCTCCTCCTCGCAGCTGCAAAAAAAGAAGCCGCCGATTGGTCGGCTCGGTTGACCGCCATTTATAAATACGAGGGGGGTGGTCGGAAGCGGCATCGGTCGAAGTTTGATAGCGGCGCTGCCGGAAGTGGCACAAAATCTGGATTGGGATTGCTTTCGGATCTCTGCCGGTTGTCGGAGCAAATGGGTGCCTACATGTGAAACGTATCTTTGTTGTGGGCCTTGTTACAAAAAAAACGAACAAAAAAACCCGGTGAGTAAGGCGTTTGCGATGGGAGGACTTGGAACACATATGCGGTACTGTTAATTGTATAGTTTTTTTTTTTTCCCTCGGCACGGAATAGGACACCCGGCATTCCGTGGTGACGTGAATTTGTGGTTAATGCCATTTTTTACTTACTCCTTTTTTT